ACCGTAAAATAATTGTCACGTATAAACGAATAAGTTGATCGTCAAGTGAATAAAATACCTCGCAACGGTTCTGGGCGAATGATCAGTGATCCGGAACCGAGGCGATTCACAACGACGAGGGGAGGCTTTGTCCAACGATCGATTATCCATGGTTACAGCGGGCAAAAACATCGTAGCCCTTCCGCAACGCCTCAGACCGCTTCTCACCTGCTTCGAGATACGGCAACCGGATCTGCGCGATGCTGCATACTTGATACATCGATTAATCTCCGTGTACTTTTTCTCGCAGTCCCGGGTCTCGGAAAAATTCGCGGCGGTATATTAAAGCGAATTAATGGACGTCGTGGTTGTCTCGCTCGAGAGACGTCCCTTGACAAAAAATCCATCCGCAGAACTGAGCGCATGTATTGTGCTCGGATCGGCGTATCGTATACCTGGAGGATACGCGAATTTCGACCCGAATGTCGACCTTGGGCGGATCGAAAACTGCGATCAAGAGGCCGGCGAAAGACGATTTTCGGGTTACGGTTGGCTGCTCTCCAGCTGAGCAGAATTTAGCACTCGTCGGCCTGTTAAGACGCCTGTGTAATGACGGCTACATTATAATTGCAGAAATATCCGGTAACGATTCCCGCTTGGCGCGACGGCAAAATCCGGCGTATTTATTACGACGTATTTTAAGCGACAGTGGCAATGGTGACGACGCGTTACTTTGTACGTCATCGAGCAGGATTGCGCTAATTTAGGGTAGCGTGCGCGAGACGCATCACTGGCAATCGTAAGAAGCTCGCCCGGATTCGAATATTCGTCGATGTAGTTCTCGGGTGAAATATTTCGTCGCAAAACGACCTCCTTTGCCTCCTTCATATTTGTATATATTTTCGAGTATAGATTCCACGATGTGCAATACGACATAGTCTGGAAATGGCTGGAAATATTTTTTATTGTCTGTACTTATACTAATTCCTGGTTTGTCTGCAAATAATTCATCATTCAGTGAAGATCTTCGGGTGTAGATAATCATCAAAAGCAGCGAGTTATCCTCTCTCACATGCGAAATCGCGCGTACGAAAGCGGACGAGAAACTTTCCTCAAGGCATATCACTCCGCGGGGACGCAGCGAAATTATAAATATGAGGCGTATGCAGGTCTTGTGCAAGCTGTCGCTATGTATTTTAAAGGCCGCTGTCGCGACACCAAACAGGTCTTCTCTTTCTCTCTCTTTGGAGCGTTCGTGTAATCTTCGAGACACGGCGAGGCAGCATCCTTCCGTGAAGACAGCCGTGGTTTTTCTTCCGAGGAGAGAGAGATAGAAAGATAGAAAGAGAGGGAGGCAGAGAAGGAGAGAGAGAGAGAGAGAGAGAGAGAGAAAATCGAAACTTTCCTTACCGATATCTCCTCTTCCAAAGATGTTTCTCTTCGCGCGTTGCGGCAAAAATATTCGATAATCTTGCAGTTGTAGAACTTATCGAGACAACATTTGTCAAGGTACGATAACTATCAGGAGCAGATTTCTCCGGCGAATGCCGGCTGATACACGCGGAAACGGAACTTGACTCGTATTGAAGTTGGTACCAGTTTAGCGAGACTCTTTTTTTTACACCGATAATAAAATATAGTTGAATTAACTATAATCTCACTATATTTTATAGTTCATTTTGGCGTCAATCATATTTTTATAGTTCGTGGAACCTGCAAAATATAGTAGAACAAACACAAATATATAGTCAATGATTGTCTTAAATAATTGTTTAGTTACTGTCATTATTTAGCAAATATTCTGATAATATTGACTATATAAAAGAGTTACTTTACCTACCATTTTATATTTGTATCTATACAATAATTTTAGTTTACCTTACTATAATTCTTACAAGGGAACAGTCGGGAGCGTCCCCCACCGATTTGAATGGGCATTGGATATGTTGTAGAGGATCAAAAAATATTAGACACGTATTTTTTTATATGCTTATCTCGAGGTTTAGGGGTTGAAATCACCCCTTGAAAAAAAAAACGGATTTTTTCGTTTTTATCAAATATCTTCTAAAATATGAGAGATACGAAAACATAGTAAATGTAAGAGTTTTACAGTATTTTATGCTCTTTGCACCTGTCAATTCAAATTTTTCAAAATATCAAATTTACCCTCCCCGCTCCCCCCTCCACTCCACATTATTTTCGCAAATTTCAAAAATTTTGTGAGAACAAAAATTAAAGAGCATTGAATTCCGAATCCAACCATATATAATAATGTTACTTTCCGAGATACGGACTTTTCGAAAAATAAATGGAAATGTCCGTGTATATCCGTAACACGCTATGCACAGCGCCTACCTCACTCGATAATATACGCAACACATCCTCTTCGAATTTCTTTCGAATAATAGACGATTAATACCGATACGGAGAACATGTAATCATAAAACATTTCAATATATAATAACGTTATTAATAACAATCATAGATTTATACACAGCAATATTTCTATGCTTTGTCTTTACAAAAAGATATACGTAAAAGATTACAAAAAAGATATGCTCTATGAAAGTTAAATTTTATGTATGATAAGTTTGTGTGTCTATTTTTGTGGTGGTTGACGTAAGTACTACGACGAAAGTGACACATGAATTGCAAAATCAATCATGTTTATTAACGCGGCGTTTCCATCGAATCTATCATCACGTGAAAAACGCCGCATTCATGAAATCATGCGTGATTGCATAATTATATCTAATATGATATTGATAACGTAATTATTTTCACGCACACGCATCACATATATACATACACATCTACAACCGTGAAAGTGTTGTGCCGTCGTATTATTGTCATATCTTCTTTCCATCCTGTTTACTTTCAATTTTGTCATAGTTCTAATAATAGATGAATATTAAGTGTCGTAGACGTTACAGTCATGTGAGCTATTCAAAGTGCTAGAAAGCAGCCACTTTGTGCGACGCAAATCATGAGTAAACGTAATATGTAGAGATACATTTCATATATAAGAAGTAGTACAAGCTAGTGTCGCAATAAGTATCCATCGTTTCACGACGTATCATTTGTGAGCGCAAGTTTATAAGTACATATTGCTTTCTCTCTATGTGTGTGTTTAAAACTTCTTTCATACATTCTTTATTAAATACATAAGTATTTATTACTAACTGATATTATTATTTTATATTTATTATGACATATCTTGTCACTCTCTATTTTATATTATTGGAATTGCAATAGTTTGTCGAGTTATCAGTAATGTGATAATATACGGAAAAATGGAGCGAAATTGAGCAACAGTCAAATTATAAATTATATATAATAATGATTAATAATCAAAGAAAATTTTTACTAATTTGAAGAAAAAATATGTATAGTTATTTCAATTTCAGAACATCTACATACGTAAATATAGAGCTGCCTTTCCGTTTTCACGACATTAATTTATTCTGGATTCACTATATATATTTGACAGAGAAAAAAAGCGGCATCAGGATTAACATAAGAAAATCACTGCATTAATTATAAAGTGTGTTTTATTTTATATATTATTTTATATATATTACGGTTTGAGAAAAATATTTCATTTTAATATTTTTCAAAATGATGCAATTTAATCCCTTGAATGTTATAATGTTACTCTATACAACTTTCATTGCTCTTAACTTTCCACAAAGTCCGATAACTCCAAAAGAAGTAGAAGTGAAGGAGAAGATTGAATATTTGTTAAAAGAAATAGAAAATGAAGAGGAATTTGATATAGAAGAGGAAGAAACTTTAGATTTTTACAATACATATGAAGTTCCAGAAGCGGAAAATATTGATTTATTAGAGGAAAATGAAAGAAAAGAATATCTCCCGGAAGAAGTTATTTGTAGCTCCGTTGAAGCAGGAATATCAAATGATGATTATAAAAGGCAAGCTGTGGAATACTGGAAGAGCGGTAAACCAGGACGAAGATCGCTTGAAGGAGTTAAAAGAAGATATAGAAAAGTAACGTCGATGCGACAATTACGACGATGAGAGGACCAAATCAGTGCAGGTGGCAGCAGAGATGAAAAATTAAAAAGAATTTCTGGATATACAATAAACCGTTTTAATGAAGCGCTTGAAAATAGAATAATTATTCATGACATTGACATTGCTCGATGGGCTTCTCGAGCACAAGAAGAGGAAAATATGGTAAGATTCAAAGCTTCCGACACGTGGCTAAAAAGATTCAAAACTTCATACGATATCGTCTCTCGAAAAATAACAAAATTTGTAACAAAAAAATCACTGTTATCGAAAACAGATTTAGAAGATAAATGTAATACATTTATTGAAAATGTAAAATATTATATTGAACGATATATGGCGTAGACAATGTTTATAATTCGGATCAGAGTGGATTCCAACTTGAATTTCACTTTGGTCATACTTTATCCCAAAAAGGTCTAAAAAATATAGAAGCTGTAATACAATCTACATCAGCAACCACACACAGTTATACTATACAGCCGACTATTTCTGCAGATGGTAGACTATTATCGCCTCTTTTTATTAATTTAAAGGAAGTAACAAGAACATTCGGTCCTAGAGTAAAAGAAACTATGTTCAAAGCACCTAATATTTTTATTACGGCTTCTAAAATCAGGCAAATTAACATCGAGTCATATAAAAACTTGGTTGAAAGAAGTATTTTTTCCGAATGTTGGCCCACAATCCGTATTATTATTAGATTCTTGGAGTGGACATTGTCCCAACATAATTGAGGAGACGAGAACAGATTTTGCAACAGATATTGTTTTCCTAACAATTCCAGCCGGTGCAACAGGAAAAATACAACCGTTAGATGTATACGGCTTCCGATTATGGAAAAATTTTATTAGGCATTTTTCTGATACTGTTATGTTATTAAATCTTGCAATTGATCTTCATGCTAGAAATAATATATTGAAATTGCAATCATTAACGCATCATCAATTCTCGACGCCCAGATTTCAAAATTTATTTAAATATGCCTGGTTTAAAAGTGGATATATACAGACTGGACCAACAGAGTTTCAAACACCGGTTGAAACCGGTGTTGCTTCCAAAGTGATTTAAACATAAAATGCGATATTTGTGGCCAAACTGCTATAATTACTTGTTCTTGGTGTAAAAAATCATTGTGTATGACACATTTTTTCCATAATCATCACCATTGCAACGAATATGTACCATAAAAATAATACAAATTCATTATTCGCGCGCGTGTTCATATGTAAATTGTGTACTGTTTCTTTATCACATATATTGTTAAATATATATTATTGCCAGTATTATTCTTCCACAATTTATTATATTATTCCTCTCTATCCTGTTCTTCTACATTATTATTCCGTAATTAGTATTTAAGCTCTTTGTTATATATTGTTTAGCAATTGTTAATGCTGTGTTATATTTTCATATCGCACGCTTGCTCTTTCTTGCAGAGGTAATAGAATCTGTATTCCCTTATTTCATACATTACGACTTTATTTTAATTCGTCTTGATCGTGTGTCGACTTGCCATTGCAATAAACATACTTATTTCAAGAAATATAGAAATATACAATGGAAATTTCTGTACAAATAGCGACGCTGCACACGCATTTGCTGCACACTGTTGCCACATAAGCACATTTATCCGTACTCACTGCTTTTTTTTTGTATAATACATGACATATTACAATTAATTCGTTTTCATCTTGCAGTAGGATAAATTATGCACAGATAGTTATTAAGCATAGCGCAACTGAAGAGAAAGAACGCTACGTAACAGTACCTACTACCTACTCGCACAGTGCAGTGCCTACCACGATGTCATCGTACTGTTTTTCTAAAAATTGAATCGAGGAATCATATTATTATTATATATGGATGGATTCGGAATTCAATGCTCTTTAATTTTTGTTCTCACAAAATTTTTGAAATTTGCGAAAATAATGTGGAGTGGAGGGGAGAGCGGGGAGGGTAAATTTGATATTTTGAAAAATTTGAATTGACAGGTGCAAAGAGCATCAAATACTGTAAAACTCTTACATTTACTATGTTTTCATATCTCTCATATTTTAGAAGATATTTGATAAAAACGAAAAAATCCGTTTTTTTCAAGGGGTGATTTCAACCCCTAAACCTCGAGATAAGTACATATAAAAAAATACGTGTCTAATATTTTTTGATCCTCTACAACATATCCAATGCCCATTCAAATCGGTGAGGGACGCCCCCGATCGTTCCTTGTCAGTGTAAGAAAGAGATAAGGAATCAAACACACGCACGATTTTTAGTCGAGATTAGTCATTGGCGTTGGATACGCCAGAATTGATACGAATTGATTTATCGCAAATTCTCTTCTATGACATAATTCCAGTGTGACGATTTAAAACAGACAATATGTGTATACAGTTGCTTTACCATTAAGGTATGATCATCTTTCAAAATGACTTATTCTTTTTTTCGCAAATTACTGATTTAGCAAAGTCTGCGATGGTACCGTTAATGCAATTTTGATGTTTTCAAGTATTTTACAGTCATGCGCGATGTTTTTGAAGACCCAAGATTTGCCAAAAGCAAGTAGCTCTCGCAACCTCGACCAACTTCAATACTATCAATCATTCTGACATCCGCGAATAACACAAGTATCTTCGAGTTGTTGCTGCGCTGCTTCCAGTCACGTTCGTATCAATGTTCAAACGCATAAACGTGGTGCGTTATGGAATGCTTGCTGCTTGACGAGTACGGTCGAAAACTTTTGAACATTACATCGACAGATCTTTTCCGATTTACCGAACATACAGCGTTATATGGCTGAAACGTGTTCGATCAAAAACGCGCCAAACAAATGCGGCAGGATGACGCCAAGTTCGGAAAAATTTAGCAATTGCAAGTACAAAATTCAAGGTGGAAACAAATGTACGAGAAACGACAAAATTACGGTCCGCACGATGATCTGATGAATAATTTTCGCGTGACGAATTATTGGAACTATGAAAGAGAAAAATTCGTGGATTAACATTTAGGTGCACACATCATATCCTGTACGCGCGAATAATGACGGACTTGTTCATGCTATCAGGCGGATAAAATTTCTCCTCGTATTGATCGAAACTTTGAAATGACACCGGACTTTTCGCCTTTCTACTTAAGTCTTTCCCCGGCGATTCCCATCATGCTGTGCATTTCCAATCGCACGACTGGGTCGTTACTCTGACAGAAATGACAAAACGCAAAAACAAGTCTTACCTCGAGATATACGGCTGATGGCCTCTGCTATGTCTGCCTCTGAAGCGTATTCCTGGCCATATTTGACGATGGTGGTCACTAAGGACATCAACGGCCAGGCAATGCGGAAGTGGTACATCTCCTTGAGACTGTACTGAAGTAAAATCTCGAGGTTGTCATCTGAAATTGAAAAAAAGTCCGATGTGAGATGAGCGAATATGACGAGATCGGCGCTTCATGTGGAGGAGAGCGTCGCCCTGCCTATCTCGCAGCGCTCGAAGCGCGTTGCGTTGCAAACTTATTTTCCGTGTCGTCGGGTCGCGTCAAGTGATTTCAACGCGTGTAAACAGTCGACGATATCTGTCAATCGTAACGCACGCCGCATACGACACACGCCGGGGCTCTTCGGTCACTCGCGACCGCTTCTACCTTCCTCGTGACGAGGAGGTGCAGGTTGTAGGGCTTTCTTCGAGTTACCGGGCGACTACAGCGACTACTTTCCTACGTAAGCAGTTCGCTCTCGCAATCGGAAAGATCTTTCTCAGCCGTTTTCCCGCGAACTTTGCGCTGACATTTATATACCACCGATAGAGCCGGAACGCCATCGCGCGATATCCCAGCCGAGTCGAGCGGCGTGTCAACGCCGCTCGACTCGGCTGTTCAACCATGTTAAAGTACATTCACCAGCAATAACAGCATTCTATTTGCGCGAAACGCGCGCCCTGACATGCGCTACCACGTGATGGTCCCCGTGAAAGAAGGGCGTGCGTTCCCGGCGAAAAACACCCCCGCCACGCGTGCGCGAGACCCGTCAGGTCCGACCTCGTGGTGCGGCAATATTGATCCTCAATATCGCTTTAACCCGTGCATAGCGCGGAAGAAGCAGCGCGAAGGGACGTGGGAGCGAAACCGTAAGAGGGGCCGGGGAGGGACGGAGGGCTCTGGGGAGCCCTGGCGAAGGAAATGGTACCGCGTCACCTCCGATCGACCGCGGAGTCGCGGACAACAGTTCCCCGGCCGTTATGTCATGATATATTAGACATTACCAGCAACCAATGGCGACGCATCTAGTCGTTGTGGCTCCGCCTCTATTAGGGGGACTCCTGGATCGTTTTTAAAATAAGGAAATGCCCCCCTCCTCGTACCGTGACCTCACCACCCCTTCCTCACTTTGTCTCTCTCGCGCTCACTTTCTCTCTCTCTCTCTCTCTCTCTCTCTCTCTCGCTCGCTCGCTCGCTCGCTCGCTCTCTTACATAGCATCTCTGCCCCACTCTAGCCGTCGACGATGTCGGTAATCCCCTTCCTCCGTCTCCCGCTGAAGCCGACCACCAACTCGTGCGACCCGACGGAATAGACAACGGCGCGATGCAGGTGCTGTGGCCGCGCCGCGCCGCCGGGACGCCTAGCGTTGGTTCCCTCCTTTTACGCGCGCAGGTGAACCCGGCCAACCACGTGCTGCTGTACGCGGCGGCGCGTGTACACGACGCGAGAACGAGCGAGGAAGAATAGAGAGCGATGGGAGGGGCTGGGGACGGGTAAGGGTTCCGGGGAGGACGAGGGCGAGCCCGTCGATATGGAGAAGGGAAGAGAGATCGCGCGGGGCCTAGGCGTACGTGTGCACCTTTCGATGCCTTTCGTTCCAGCCCGTCGACATGTTCTTCTCTGTCAGCGGCTGAACCGCGCGCGCTATTGTGTCGCGGATTCGCGGTTTCCTCCTCCGCTTCCTCCGCCTGCGGTCGGGCCGTTCCGCGCGCCATCCGACCTTCGTCTCGCTCAGTCAGCCTCTTTTTCTCGCTTCCTTTCTCCGCTCGTCTTATTGTGCGCAGGCGAACTTTCGCTGTGCGACATATCATGCCGCACCGAACGCACCACGAAATCGAGGTCGCCGAAGCGGCCTGGACGGGGAGAAAGGGGGCAATCGGTATAAATTTGTAAGAATGGACTTTGTTTGTTTATCATGCACGCGTGTGGCGCCGTCGTTTGACGATGCGCGGCTTAACAGCTGTACGACGGAGGTTTCGAAGTGTCAACGCGATTTTCCATGAAATAAAATTGGTCTTCGCGACTGTGTGACGCATAGATGCAACTCTCCGCCCTCCCCGCTCTCTCGTGCAAATCGTTTCTTTCACGAATGACACGCGTCGGACACGGTGCGAGCATTGAACAATTGTCCGCGGCAACTTCAATGATATATATAAAGTGTAATTTGCATATTTCCAGGCTGATTCTAGTCAGAACACCACTTCTCTGACTTGGTGGTAATTTTCTTTCAACGCGACGACGGAGAAACGTGCGTTTCTATCTAGCTGTTCTGCCGTCCCCATGGTAGGTGAAAGAAATTTCGTAACATTCATATCGCTTGAATACGCTTGAATGAGTGTTCAGAACGCATCATTTTCGTGCGACCTTATATTTGATAAATTATATGTCCGCAAGCTAAACCTCATGGTTTATCACTCCGTCACTTCAATGGGAACGTAGCATTAGTAATAGCAGGGCAAATGAATGGGACTGTAAAAAACATCAATCGGAAATATTCCACTGTAACACTTGGTCATGTTGTAAAAGGGTTAAACGTGACCGAGCTCGTCTTCATCAAGCGTTAAATGAGTCATTTATCTTTGCATTATCTAAATCCAATCTGGGAAACCGATCGAGATAGGACCCTGCATCTAATTGGTGATATACAATTAATGATTAACGGTGCAAAATGTGCATATTGTTCTCTTCAGTGTTCTCAAAGAATCGACACTCATCGCCCTCTGCGAGTTGAAAAAACGAGCTCTCGAAGCTGCGAATCCCGCGACAGCAAACCCTGCTGCTCTGAGGCATTCAACCATTCCGGCAGGGACTCGTTAGCTCTGCTAGTCTTTCGCAAGACTCATCAGGATTTTGGACGAAACGTTCACAGACTTCCCACCTATTCGAAGCGCGTCTTGATGCGCGCCTTCCCCACGAAAGAAAAAAAGACGCCAGAAATCTGAGCGATGGGGAGGTACATACGCGACCCGGCCTTGACTAATTTGCCTGCACTGAGAAAAATATCCGAAATATCCGATTGTTAATTTCGTTATCCGATCAAATATCCGGTGTATTTAACCGAATATTTGATCGGATAACAAAATTAACCCTTAGCGCTCTGCGCGTCTGCCATCCTTTTCTTGAAAATAATAATAAATAATAATAATAATAATAATACTTGAAAATCAAATACGTCTTCACTATCACTCAGCTCTAAATTTTCATTATAACATTCATTCGTCTCCATGTTTTTAACCATAAAAAAGGTCGTAAAATAATTTAACCTCAATATTACAGACTTAGCACGTTTTAACTACAGATAACAATTGCCAACGCCGACGATGACATAGCATCTTAAGCGTAATCATGTTAAAAACATTCGGCTCCGCAGCGGAGCCACCGGAGTTATTAAACAAATGAGCGATGTCTCCGTACCGGAGCCAACGGAGCGCTAAGGGTTAACAATCAGATATTTCTGATATTTTTCTCAGTGTGTAATTTCATTGCCCAGTTTCCCCGATGAGGTCATCGCAAATATTTCGATAACTGTTTTATTATTAGAACTGTACAGTTTGCCAAGGTCTAATGTGAGGTCTGCTAAGTACGTTAGCGTGCGAAAAAAGCACATTTTGGATAGAAGTTTGTTATATTAGGTAAATCGAAAAGTTTAACGTCCGTTTAGCGACAAGTAGCTATAGCTAGAACTATCGTTAACCTCTAATGTCTAAACGAAGCTTAATAGTTTGTTTTGACATCTGTCAATAACATTCAGTACATAAAAGTATACGTTTGCATCAATAACATTGTTTTTCACTGCATCGAAAATGTCGAAATTTGAGCCAAATAAGCGTCATTTGCGCGAAGTGTTAATCTTTTGCTTCAATTGGAAGAAAACTGCAGCTGAAGCTCATCGAATGCTTGTAGAAGTTTATGGTGATAATGTTCCTTCCGATGAAACATGCAGAGAATGGTTTCGACGCTTTAAAATTGGTGATTTTGATGGACAAAGAGCGTTCTGGACGGCCAAGAGTATTCGAAGACGAAGAATTGCAGGCATTGGTGGACAAAGACCCGTGTCAAACGCAAAAGCAACTTGCAGAAACATTAAATTGTGCTCAATCTGTCATTTCCGATCGTTTGAGAGTCTCAGGAAAGGTATACAAGGAAGGAAAATGGGTCCCATATGAACTGAAGAGACATTGAAAGGCGAAAAACCACCTGCGAAATTCTGCTTGCTAGGCAACAAAGAAAGGGATTTTTACATCGTATCATCACTGGGGATGAAAAATGGATTTATTTTGACAATCCCAAACGTCGAAAAACTATTTGCGATCCCGGCCAAACCTCAACATCGATGCCAAAGCGGAATATCCACGGAAAGAAGGCAATGCTCTTGGTGGGATCAGAAGGGTGTGCTGTATGCATGAGTTGTTGAAAAGTGGTCGAACAGTCACAGGGGATCTCTACGGAGAACAAATGATCCGTTTGAGCCGAGCATTGCACGAAAAACGACGAGAATATGAAACGAGACAGCATAAAGCATAAAGTGATTTTGCTTCATGACAACGCTCGGCCTCACGTCACAAAATCTGTCAAGGAAACGTTAGAAGCACTTCGTTGGGAAGTGTTAACCCGTGCGGCTTTTTCACCAGACTGTGCCTCTTCCGACTACCACTTGTTTCGATCGATGGCACACGCACTTGCTAAGAAATGCTTCAATTCTTATGAAAACGTCGAAAAATGGGTCTCTGATTGGATAGCCTCCAAAGATGATGTCATTCTTTCGCCGCGGAATTCGCTTGCTGACCGAAAGATGGGAAAAGTCATCGCTAACGATGGACAATACTTTGATTGATGTACTTTTTCATTTTGTTTCTTAAATAAAGCTGTATGTTTTGCAAGAAAACGGACGGAACTTTCCGATTGACCTAATATTTCAGAATAGCCATCACTGTGGCTGTAGGAACCATGGCGAGGTCTACAGGTCAGCGCGCGACCGTTCGAAGATCAGATGCAGTATAATAACAAACATGATAACGCGTCTTTTCTATTCGCCGTAGCATACTTTGCGATATAGCTGCATCTTGCGTATCAACTGCCGCTTATCGTCGCTAAAGAAGAGCGTTGGACCAAGAGAGAGAGAGAGAGAGAGAGAGAG